CCCCCCCCCCCCCTGCCTGTGGCGGTAGTGATCGCGCTTCCCCAGATGCAGGGGAAAGGGGGCAGCGGACGGGCATGCCCGAGCCAGGCGCGCAAGGACGCGCCATCTCCTCCGCCATCGGCGGCGCGCAGCAGGGGGGTGCGGCAAGGGGGACGTCGTCCAGGATAGCAAGGTCGGGCGTTGGCAAAACTGGGTTTCGTGGGACCTGGTTTAGTGATGTGTGCTGGGGGGGGCGCCGCCCCCCAGGCCCCGGTCCACTGACCGGAACTACCGCCACCCAAAAAAAAACACCATCTGCGGTAGACCTGGTTTAGTGTCTCTGGACAATTGAGGTGCTCCGGGGCCCTACTACTAATCGCGCCCCCTTGCCTGGGATCCTGGCTATCCGACAAAGGGGCTATCGGGAATGCTTAATCGTTCCGCTGTCCCCACCTCTCATGGAATTGGAACCTCGTCTGCAGTCCGCAGTACCCCGCGTCCCCCTTATGCCCGATCCCCCTCCCCCCCCTGAGATCTGGGATATGCGATCTGCCGGCATTGGTACCACGGATGGCGCCGCCAGCCTTCGTTCTCCTCCTCCTCCTCCTCCCTGCCCTCCTCCCTCTCCTCCTCCTCCTCCTCCTCCTCCTCCTCATCATCCTCTTCCTCCTCCTCCTCCTCTCCCTCCTCCTCCTCCTCCTCCTCCTTCCTCCCTCCTCCCCTCCCCCTCCTCCCCCCTCCTCCTTCCGCTCCCCTCCTCATCCTCCTCCTCTCCCTCCTCCTCTCCTCCTCCCTCCTCCCTCTCCTCCCTCCTCCCTCCTCCTCCACCATCCTCCTCCACCACCTCTCTCCTCCCTCCCCTCCTCCTCCTCCTACTCCTCCTCCTCTCTCCTGCCTCCTCTCCTGCTCCTCATCCCTCCACCTCCTTCCTCCTCCTCATCCTCGTCCTCCTCCTCCTCCTCCTGCTCACTCCCCCTCACTCCTCCTCCTCCTCATCCCTCCACCTCCTCCTCCTCCTCCTCGTCCTCCTCCTCCTCCTCCTCTCGCTGCTCTCCGCATGCCCATTTCGGCGCACCCATCGCACATCTCGTACCGCCCGGGGAAGAGCTCCACATACGGCCCCCCAGCAGTGGGCGCCCGTGTGGCGGCGCCGCCCCACCTCGGCGCGCCGCTCGCACACGCTTCTCGCCACCAGAGGGACCTCCACGTGCGGCTCCGGCGAGGGGTCGGCACATCCCTCGCGCGTGTCGTGGCCCCCATAGGGAGGGCTCCACGTACGGCCTTAGCGAGGGCGCCCAGAGGAGGAGGAGGAGGAGGAGGAGGAGAAGGAGGAGGAGGAGAAGGATCCAGACGCTGCCTAGCGAGAAACGGCAGAAACGGCAGGAGGAGAAGGAGGAGGAGGAGGAGGAGGAGGAGAAGGAAAAGGAGTAGTAGGAGGAGAAGGCGAAGGAGGAAGAGGAGGAGGAGAAGGAGGAGGAGGAGCAGGAGCTCCGATGCTCCGTGGACTCAAGGGGAGCCACGCCGAAGGGTCCGAGTGGGGTTGCACGTTATGGCGGCGCCGCCGCGTGGCCCAAAGAGGGAGTCCTCCTCCAGAGAAAGGAGGGATACAGCCTGCGCTACCCGTAGCTGCTCAGGGTTGGGTCAGTCGCCATGCGATGTGTTCACTGCCATGCTACCTGTTTTAGAGACGCGCTCGAAACGTCAGAGCTTGAGAACTCTGCCCCACCGACGACGCGCGGGAGAGACGCCCTCACGAGCCGCCTCTGGAGGCCATGTATATTCGCAACCTGCACGTATGAAGCTTGGGGGCTGCCCGCCAGCTGATCGACCGCGCTGGCGTCCGCCTTCGCCGCTGACCAAAAAGTGCATTATTAGGCTCAGAAAACTTGCAAGGATCAGGCAGTCTGCAAGGCTGTGGGTTTGGTCGCCTGACCTCCACTCAGAACGATTACGCCCCCCACCTAACCCAGAGGCTCGGACATACTCGGGTCTGTATAAGCCTACGCAGCTATCGGCATTTGTGCTCGAACTCCTGGAGTTGAAGTATGTGGAGCCTCTGAAACACCTTGCATAGCAAAACACCTTCACAAGCGGACCCGGAGCAGACGCGACACGCCTTTGCGAGCCGCCTCCGGCAGCCGTGCGTATTCTCATGTTTCAAGCTTCGCGGTATTGAGACTCATTGGGCTTCATCGCCTGAACTCCACTCAGAACGGCTACGCCCCTACCGTAATCCAGACGCTCCATCAGATCCAGATGTTCATAGTAGTACACGTACCTTACAGAATTGATGTTTGAACCCCTGGGGCTGTATCTGAGGAGCGCTTTCTGAAAAACACTGGTCTGTATCGCAACGCCTCTCCAGCTATGACGCGCAGCAACGCCACTGTCAGGAATTGGACGAACATGCAACACGCATTCGCACAGCTGCGTTGCACCAGGTTCACTAATTATGGTCGTAGAGACCTGGGTGTGGTCGACAGAGCTCCACTCAAGCACACTTCGCCTTTACGTGCGATTCCGAATAATGGCCCTGCACGGTCGATGCTGGAACAAAAGTTCGTGACACTCCAACTATACTGGGCCTGCCCTCACGGGTCAAACCAACTAGAACCTCTGCCAGCACTCCCGCTTGTGGAGGCCACCAAGCTGCGAATATGTTGCCACAGCAACTGAGCAACTTGACTCTCACCCGTGCAACTATGAATGTTCCAGAAGTCGGCAACTTGACAACTCTGATTCGTCTGAACCTAGAAATCAGGAGCACCGACATGCCAACTGTTCCATTGACCTTGGTCTTACTTTCAGATAGCGCGCGCGAATCCCCCAAGCCCGACATGAATGTACTCCCACCCGCGAGCCGCATCATCAAGACCTCTGCGTGCTCTGCTCCTCGTAAGAATGTGGTGGATCCGCGCTTCCCTCTCCCCCCCAGACATGGTGATCCCGAGCTTCCAAAACCACGACCCCGAGGAGGAAAACTATGGGTGCGTGCATTCCATGTCATGCTGCTCCCCGGCGCAGAAAGCAATGGACCCGCGCCGTTGAGGCAACGACCCATGGATATCCTGGCCCCCAGGAGACCGTTTTCTTGAATCGGCGATACCCCGGGTCATCCGGGGGGGGGGGGATGGGGCTGGCCGATAACCTATCCTTCGCACTGTGGGCAGCCCTTCATATGCCCGCGACCCCCCCACCCTGGACCTGCACAACCGGCAAGTTTAGGTTATCCTAGGGGTGGGTGGGGGGGAAGGGGGGTAAGCCCGATAACCCGGGTTATCGCCAGACCCAACAAAAAACAATCTCCAGGGCCACGATCCCCGCGTTCAAGACAATGGGTCGGCACTCCGAGAATCCGCGACCCATTGCGAAACAAAAAAGGGCGCACACTCCCGAGGCCACGATCCGTCCTTCGATACAGCAGGGTGCCCGAGCCCTTGCAGGGCCCACGACCCTTGCAAAATGACGATGTGCCGACGCTCCCTGTGTCACGATCCCGGGCAAAAAGCTATGGATCCGGTCCGCTCCAAGCCCGCCAGGTAGCCAGCTGACCATCCTGCATGCCAACCCGCCAGCCTGCCAACCAGGCAGACAGCCCACCAGCCAGGAAAGCAGCGAAACCAGCCGAGCTGCCAGGAGGAAGGGAGGAGGAAGGGAGGAGGAACGGAGGAGGAAGGGAGGAAGGGAGGACGAGGAGGAAAGGAGGAGGAAGAACCTGCCGACCAGCCAGCCAACTGAGCAACCAACCCAACCGGCCAAGCCATGCAGGCAATCCAAGTGGGGCTCGACGGCTCTGGGCGAATGCCTTCGGCTAGAAACTGGTGACTGCGTGGGGCTCCACCCGACCATGGCCACACATCAAAAATGGAAAGGCCTGGTCACAAAGAGCCACTAGAAAAGACCGCGCGCGGACCTCCTCTCGAAGAGCAGGGTCATGCCAGTTGCTCGTTGTCCGGCTCCGCGCGCGCACATACGAGAGGTCCAACCAAATTGCTGCTCCGAGCATGCCTCGGCACTGCGCCCGATCGCCAGTCCACCCCAGGCTTCGCTTAAGTCGGGCCTGCCCCCCTACAGGGGGATCTCCGACGAAAAATAAAGACATCCCCCAAAAAATCAAAAATTGTCCAAAAATAGTCGGGGGACTATTTTTGGACTATTTTTGGGGTATCTTTCGTTTCTCGTCGAAAATCCTCCTGTAGGGGGACAGGCCCGACTTAAGGCTCCGCTTCTGGGCCCGTTCGGCGTCCGAGCCCGGTCGGCCGCCGAAAGGGGCTCGAGACCGAGCCCCCTCGACCGCCGGGCGGGCGAGGCTCGCGCTGGCATCCTGGCCTCGAGCCCGCTCGGCTGCCCGCGCGGCGGCCGAGTGGGCTCACGCGCCAGCTGCTGCGGGAGGCATCCTGCTGGGAGGTCTTCGCCGGAAGGCTTGAGAAGGAGTCGGCCCCGTTGGGGGGCTCTTGCACCGAATTCGGCCGCGGCCTCAGCGGGACTAGGCCGGGTGGAGCGATTAAGCCAGACTATGAGCGGGATGAAGCCGGATGAGTCCGGACTTCGGACCAGGGCAAAGTCAGAATTTGACCTCCCAGGAGTTGCATCCGCGCAGGTGGCCTCAGAAGGGACCCCCGGGGTTGAGAGGCACTCGCGGAAGCGATTGGCTGTCCCCAACTAGCGCGCCAGATCGCGCGCACAAGGAAGCACAGCGCATCTCCCTCACATGTCGCTGTTGGGTGCTGTTTGGGCGATGTTCGGCACTCCTGGGCACTAGTTAGCGCTGCTGTGCGCCAGCCTCGCCGATATACATTCAGAGCGGCATCTTTCGTGACTTCCCATCTAAGGTTCGGTCGGGCATGTCCCCCCTTCAGGCGGATTTGGGACGAAAGATAAGAAATAGTCAAACATACCTTCAAAAATGGTCAAAAGTCGCCCCCCCTATTTTTGGACTGTTTTTGCAAATTCCTCCTGTGGAAGGACAGGCCCGACGTATATCTAAGGCAACGCGCTCGCTCCGCCCGGCCTGCCTGCCCTCAGCAGTCCGAGCTCCCCTGAGCGCCGCCTGCCTTTGAGAGGCCCCCCGCGTGGGGTCCGAGCTCGGAAGGGTTCGGACGCTCGCGCCGCGTCCCAAGAGGCTCCTAAGCTCGCCATTGTCCTCCTCCTCCTCCTCCTCCTCCTCTTCTTCTCCTCCTCCTCCTCCTCCTCCTCCTCCTCTTTCTCCTCTCCTCCTCCTCCTCCTCCTCCTCCTCCTCCTCCTCCTCCTCCTCCTCCTCCTCCTCTTCCTCGCTGATGCACCGACGATGCGTCGGCAATGCCAGCGATGCCATCGGCGCCGAAGGCGTAGACAAAATTGAGCTCCACATCGAACCGCAGCGCCGATGCATCGCCGATGCGGCGCGACCCTCCGAATCCATCCACTCGGACCACACTTGAGAGACCTGGACTGCCTCCGCCTCGTCTGCGCCGCGGACCTTCTGCTCCTGCATCCTGGGCCGTGGGGCCGGCCAGCCCGCGGGCATCTCCGCGGGAGACTCGGACTCGGGGCTGACGTGGACCTTCACTGGGCTGTACACCTCACGAGTGACGGCCGGATTGGAATGACCGACTTAGTGCGTGCAAGACCAGCCAGCATCGAATGAGGTGATCGGATCGGATCGGAGTGCGCGTCAGATCGGGCTGCATCGGCTCGGAGTCGGCTTTGAATCGGGTCGGATGCGCAAGGAAGCACAACACCACCATGCAAGCATCGGGCGGTTCGGATCGCCAGGTTGAAATCGAGCGGGACCGGGCCAGCCGAGGAAAACTTCAAATCGGATCGATCGGATGGAAGTTGGCCCTGTGAGTGCGCTGGTGGCTACTCCTCTCTGCCTGTGCAGCTACGAGCTGCCCAACAGAGCACATGGCACTTGGATTGTTTCGCATGCGGCCCACGCAAGGCCCCCGCTCCGCTAACCGTCACTTGGGACTACGATGTAGTGTCTAGGAATTGCGGATTCACACTTTCTTGTTTAAAACTGTTACTGCGCACTGCCTCAAAAACCAAAAACAACCCGCCCACCAACCCAGAAATCTTGGGTACATGTATGATTGTATGCACACATGCATGAATGCATGTACATATGCATGTAGTCACGTATGTGTGCATGTGTACATGCATGTATGTCTGTGTGTGTAAAACATGTATACACGTACGCATGTAACTGTATGTAGGTATGCATGTATGGCTGCATGTGTGTTTAGACATGTATGTATGTATTTATGGTTGAATGTACGTATGTACGTATGTATGTATGTTCCCTACCTAGACTCTGCCTAGAAGGGTTTTTACTCGGTAGCTTAAAGGGCCGGGCAGTGGGGCCCGCCCCGGGCGGTTCCCCCGGCATCCGCCCCGCGGTTCCCCCAGTGACGTTCCCTTAGCTTCGCGTTGCTTATTTCATCTTAGCTTAGCTTATGACATCTTAGCTTAGCTTAGCGTCATCTTAGCTCAGGTTTATCTTAGCTTAGCTTACCTTCATCTTAGCTTCGCTGAGCTTTAGCGCAGCATAGCATATCATAGCATGGGTGTAACTCCCTACCTGGGCTCTGCCTAGAGGGTTAGCTTAGCTTATCTCAGCTTAGCTCAGCATGACATAGCATGGCACAACATAGCCAAGCATCGCATAGCATAGCATAGCATAGCACAGCACAGCATAGCATGTCATAGCTTATCATAAAACAGCGCAGCACGACATAACATAGCTTAGCATCGCATAACATAGCATAGCATAGCGCAGCATAGCATAGCATAGCGCAGCATAACATGGCATGGCATAGCATAGCAACTAATGCTGCTTTCCTAGGGGCTCCAACTTCTAGGTAGGGTCGCACTGGGGTAAGTTGTTTGCATGTGTGTATATGTGTGTATGTATGCATGTATGCATACACGTGTGCATGTATGCATGTATGTGTTTACGAGGTACGCATGTGCGTACGTTTGTCTGTACGTATGCAACGGATTGTGTGCATGTATAGATGCAGGTATGCATGTGTGTATGTATGCATACAGTATGGATGCGTGTGCGTGCGTGTATGTATGCATGCATACATGGATGCTGTATGTATGCGTGTATGAGTGTACGTATACCTGTAGGTGTGTGCATGTATGTGTGTGCATGTCTACATCTCTATATATGTGTGTGTATGCATGTATGTATATGTATGTATGCATGCAGGTGTGTGTGCCTGCATGCATGCATCCATGCACGTATGAATGTACGCATGTGTGCCTGCATGTGTTTATGTATGTAGTTGTGTGTGCATGCATGCATGAAGGCATGTATGTGCATGCATGCATGCATGACTGTATGTATGCATGTATGCATGCATGCATGCATGCTTGTATGTATGCATGCGTGTACGTATGTATGTATGTATGTATGTATGTATGTATGTATGTATGTATGTATGTATGTGTGTATGCATGTATGTATGTATGTATGCATGTATGTATATATGTATGTATGTATGTATGTATGTATGTATGTACGTACGGGTGTGTGCGTGTGTATGAAGCTATGACTGTAGGGGTATACGTATGCATGCGTATGTGTATGTGCATGTGCACGTGTATGTGTATATGTATGCATATGCGTATGCATACGTGTAGGTATGTACGTCTGTAGGTGTGTATCGATATGTGTGTATCTATGCAGGTAGGACGGTAGATCGGTTGGTATGTAGGTATGTGTACCTATGTATCTGCATATCGGATGTTAGGGGGTGGTATCGAAGTGGAACAGAGAGCCCCCAAAAAAGACATCAGTGTCGGTTTCGTATTGTGCCGTGCATACGGCGAGGCGAAGCTGCGCGGGCGGGCGAGAGGACTGACCCCGCCGTCGCTAGGTTCGGATGCAGTGGACCGCCTCTTGGGCGCGCGGTGGTGTCCCGTTGGTGACCCGCTGTTGTCCCGTCAGTGTTCTGTCGGTGGTGGGCGGGCGGTGGCATGGGCTGTCCCGCCCTGGTATCGATAGCCAATCGATAGTGCGATCGATAATGAATTCGCTCGTATGGGATGAATGGTGAAATCAAAAGTGAGATCGACAGTGAGGTTGATTGTGGCATTGGTTGTGAGATCGGTAATGGGATCGGCCGCGAGATCGACAAAAGGCATCGATTGTGACATCGCGAGTGGGGTCGATCGCTGAATCAATTGGAGCTAAGACTGGCCGCGAGGTCGATAGTGGGATCGATCGAGTGAGACCGAAAGCGGGGGCGATAGTGGTATTACATCGCAGCGCAACATCGTCATCGCGCGTCGTCGCTGACTCGAGGGCGCGTGACCAGCGTCGTCATCGTCAAACCCATCGCATTTGCCAGCAGTTGGGTTTTTCCCCCTCGCACCCCACGCCTCCTTATCACCCGAAGGGTGCCCATATAGCTGTGCACGCATATACATACATATATATATATGTATGTATATATACGTGTGTATAAATGTATGTTTCAGATGTTCTACAACATCTGATACACATATACATATAAATGTAGATCTATAGAGGCCTCCTAGATGGGGTCGGAGTACGTGGGGTCGGAGTACGTGGGGTCGGAGTACGTGGGGTCGGAGGAGGAGAAGGAGGAGGAGGAGGAGGAGGAGGAAGAGGAGGAGGAGGAGAATGGGGGAATGCTTCTTAGAAGCATGCCACCCCTTAGAAGGCACCGGCCCTGCGTCTATGGAGAAAGCCCGCGCCTTCTGGGAAGCAGGGTGCGTTTGAGAAGCCTTCCCCCCTCCGCACTACCCCACTCTGTGCGCGTGGCCAACGAGGGCCTCTCAGGAGCCCCGCCGCCTTCTGAGAGGGCCTCCTCCGTCTCGATTGCCCCCCGGAGGAGGAGGAGGAGGAGGAGGAGGAGGAGGAGGAGGAGGAGGAGGAAGAGGAGGAGGAGGGAGGGAGGGAGGGAGGGAGGGAGGAGGAGGAGAAGGAGGAGGAGTGCGAGTAGCTTGAGGCGAACTCGTAAGTCTTACTTCGGCAACGCACGGACGCTACTGACGCAACGTGGTTGCCGCGCTGAAAGGCAGGCGGTTCACCGCCAAAATGGCGCATTGGCTGCACTGAGCGCGGACGCGATCGCGTCTGGCGTCGGTGCCGCAGCGGATTGCTTCATTTCTACACGTGGAAGCTGAGCGCCACTCGATGCATCGACCGCCGCAACGACAAGTCACTGGTGGAGTTAGACGGGTAGGCAGCTGCAGGACCCAAGGCCCACGTAGTAAGCATGCTGAGGAGCGGGGGCGAGTCGGGGGACAGCAGGAGGCTCACGAGGACGGGGCGGAAATGAATCAGGCGCGCCCGTACAAGCGAAGACCCAAGGCCTCTGCGTGAGCACATGCATGCAGTGGGTTGTTGTCCACCCGCCTGCGAATGTCTTGAAAGCTGGAGGAAGAGAAGGAGGGAGAGGAGGAGGAAGATGAGGAGGGGAGAATGAGGAGTAGGAGGAGGAAGACGAGTAGGAGGAAAACGTAGAGGAGGGGAGAAGGAGGAGGAGGAGGAGGAGGAGGATGAAAAGGAGGAGGAGGACGATGATGATGAGGAATGAGGCATGAGGCATGAGGGATGAGGTAGGAGGGAGGAGGCAGGAAAAGAAGGAAGAGGAGGAGGAGGAGGAGGAGGAAGAGGAGGAGGAGGAGGAGAGAGGAGGAGGAGAGAGAAGGAGGAGGAGGAGGGGGAGGAGGAAGAGGAGGAGGGAGGACGAGGACGAGGAGGAGGAGGAGGAGGAGGAGGAGGAGGGAGGAGGAAGGAGGAAGGAGGGAGGAGGGAGGACGAGGACGAGGAGGAGGAGGAGGAGGAGGAGGAGGAGGAGGAGGAGGAGGGGGTGGGGGAGGAGGGGGACCCTCCCTCGCCGCCGGGTGCCCGATCCCCGCGGGCACCTTCTCTGGGGTGTACTCCCTGTTGATGGTCGAGCAGCTCTTGCTGCTCTCGCAGCCCATGGCGGGGGCTGAGGAGCGACCGCCGCTGGCGGACGAGGCGGGGGCGCAAAGAGGGCGGCTGCCCTTGCGCGTAAAACAAGCGGCTCGAGCCAAACAAGCTCATGGATGGGAGTAGTCGCTCCGCTCGCCACGCAGTGCTCGGACCTGCTCCAGAGGGCTCGATCCGAGCAGTGTGTTTCTTTTCTTCAGGAGCTCGTGCTGCCTTTCGTCTTCCTCCCTCGTGATGGCCTCCACCCTCGGTGACGCACAAACATGGATTAGCGATCCATGGATTTGGCGCGCGGTCGCCAAATCCATGGATCGGGGGCGCGCGGCCAGTGCTGCCTCGCCCGGCGGCGGAAACCCGCGATTAGCCATGGAAACGGGACCCGCCGCTAATACTCGCCCCCATGAATCCATGCTTGCGATCGCCTGACAGGAGGAGGGGGAGGGGGATGAGGAGGAGGAGGAGGGGGAGGGGGAGGAGGAGGAAGAGGAGGAGGAGGAGGAGGAGGAGGAGGAGGAAGAGGAGGAGGAGGGAGGAGGAGGACGAGGAGGAGGAAGAGGAGGAGGAGGGGAAGGGGATGGGGGAGGGGGAGGGGGAGGAGGAGGAGGGGAGGAGGGGAGGAGGAGAGGGAGAGAGGAGGAGGAGGCGGAGGAGGAGGAGGAGGAGGAGGAGGAGGAGGAGCCTTCGCCGCAGAGCGCAGCCGAAACGACAACGGCCCACGACATCGCCAGAGCACCGCTCAGCTCGAGCCCTGCCCTACTCCTCGACACGCCGCACGCGGCGGCCTTCCTGGCCGGAGCGTGCCTCCCTTCCGCGCCCCCTCCGGCCCTCCCTCCCGGCGTTCCCTGGGAGCGCCTTTCAACTACACGCAAGAGTGACCCTGGGTAAGAGTGACCTCTGGTGCGCGGCTTCTTGGGGGCCGCGGGGAGACCAAAAACGAGCGCGCGAGACGCAACTGCCGCATCGCGTTTGGCGATCGGGGGGCCCTTTGGGCCCGCACCAAAAGGTCACTCCGGCGAGAGGTCTCTCTTACGTGTAGTCGAGCCTTGCTGTGCCCAAGGCGCGTCCCGCCGCCACTGTGACGCCGCTTGGGTCTCCCATGGCCGCCGGCCAAGGAACAATTCGCCGACGGAGCCCTTGTCAACCACGAGGGTCGACGGCAACATGAGCACATAGGCAAAACTCCTGGCGAACCCCCGGGCAACCCATGCTGATTGGATGACGACAAGGACGGCCTACCCCGGACGACCCCTTAGACAACCAACTGGCCGGGATCCGGACCACCCCACAGGAGAAATCCCCCTTGGACAAGCCTCCATGGGATTTTCCTTCCATTGGACATAAGAGGCCTCCTAGATGGGGTCCGAATAGATGGGGTCGGAAGAACGAGCCGCATCGCCGATACATCGGCGATGCATCGGCGATGCATCAGCGATGCATCGGCGATGCACCGGCGACGTCGGCCATGCATCGGCGACGTCGGTGTGGAGGACATCGGGTTCCACATCAAGCCGCAACGGCTATGCCTCGGCGATGCGGCGCGAGCCTCCGACACCATCTACTCAGACCCATCTAGGAATTGAGCAGGGACCCACCGTCCCGGCAGTCCTATAATCCTACCACGAAATGTTCTTAGAACCCAATGCTGTTCCAAGAACAAAAATTATCCCAGTGCGACCCTACCTAGGAGTTGGAACCCCTAGGAAAGCAGCATTAGTAGTAACAGTAACGCTGAGCTAAAGCTAAGCTAAAACTAAGCTAAAGCTAAGCTAAAGCTAAGCCATAGCTAAGCTAAAGCTAAGCTAAAACTAAGCTAAAGCTAAGCTAAAGAAGAGCTAACGCTAAGCTAAAGCTGAGCATCAGCTAAGCTACAGCTAAGCTACAGCTAAGCTAAAGCTAAGCTAAAGCTAAGCTAAAGCTAAGCTAAAGCTAAACTAAAACTAAGCTAAAGCTAAGCTAACGCTACGCTAAACGCTAAGCAACAAGCTAAGCGAAACGCTGAGCTAAAGCTAAGCTACAGCTAAGCTAAAGCTAAGCTAAAGCTAAGCTAAAGCTAAAGCTAAAGCTAAACCTCCCAGGGGACTGGGGGGAACCGCTCCCAGGGGACTGGGGGAACCGCCCGGGGCGCCTTGCACTGCCAGGCCCCTTGAAGCTAAGAGAGTAAGAACCCTTCTAGGCAGAGCCTGGGTAGGGAACTATGTTCTTAGAACATCATAAACCCGATGTGTTAACCCAAGACAGTCCCAGCCAGCCAGACGTGGCCTCATCACATTTCCTGGAGGCCGCAAGGCTCTGAGAACCTTCTTGACGGGGGGCTGTAGGCGAGCCAGGACGCTCCGCCACTGCCTGATGTCCAGGCTCGGCGGTCTTCGGGGGTCCCCCGGCGGACCTCGACGGCCCCCGGCGGGGTGCGGAACGACGAGCGCCGAGGGCGCAGTGCCCCGCCACTCCCAGGCTGGGCACTGCCCTGCTGTCGGCGGATCTGGGAGGAGAAAGCAGACATGGTCAACAGATATCCCAATCAATCCATGACTATCAATCAACAGATATCCAAATCAATCCATAGTCAACAGATATCCAAAACAATCCATCCAAACAGTATCAACAAACATCGTCCCCTGACCACTTGTTTGTACTGTTCTTGAATAGTTTCCTCCTGTAGAGGGACATGCCCGACTTCATGCTGCTTCAGAAGAGGCTCCTGAGAGGGCCTCTTGGATTCTGTTGCTGACTCGGTAATGGCAGTGCGGATGGCGCGCCTCTGCACTCAGCGTAGGTCCTGGGGAGCTGAGACCACGGCTGGGCCTAAACGTTGTTTCGGCTTGCTGTTGTTTTGTTCTACCTCTTTTCCCGTGCCTCCCTGCCAAAACGAAACACAAACACAGCCAAAGTGCAGCAACACAGCGTTTAGATCTCAAGCCCTGGCTCAGACCAGGAGGCCAACAGCAGACGACAACACCTGACGACAACACATGAAGGGCCCCAGGGACGCACAAATCAACAATACCAATCGGTCGGAAGAAGTAGGTAGAAACATGAAGTAGGAAGGCGTTGGAAATAGATTGGGTTTCCGCACGCCCCCTGAAGAGGAAGGAAGAGGGAAAACCACTCGACTCTTGAAGTAGGAAGGCGCTGAAAGTAGATTGGAATCTGGGAATCCCAGAATACCTACTTTCAACGACCGATGGGTACACACACATCCAAGCATGTGTCCCACATGTTTCATATGCCCTTGCTTTCCGTCTCCCCCCCCCCCCCGGGGACCGCCCGGCGCCGTGCCCGAAGCGTCGGGGCCCTGAAACGAGAGGGCTCCCCTTTCCAGAACTCAAGAAGGAGGCCGACTCGAGCTCTGCAGCGATGGGGGGCAGCCCAAATCGGAGCATGTTCTCAGGGCGGAGGGCTGAGGGTGAAATCCATGTGAGACTGTGCACCTCGAAAGTCAAATCTTGTGATTCACCTTGTGCAGATTCAAGCCTCGAGAACCCATCGAAACGGCACTTCAGATTTCACCCTTTGCCCTCCACCCAAAAAGAAAATGCTCGGCAAATGGTGTGGCGGGGGGAGGTGCACAGTAGAGGTCAACACATCCACCCCCATAATAGTAACCACCCCGACACGCGAAGTCGTCGAGTAAACGCGCCCAACGAAGGAATCGAACAGGGCAGGGCTGGTTAGTAAATGCCCAGGGCCGTTTAGTTAGTAAACGCCAGTTGTCGGGTTCGGGTGGTTCACTGTTGCATCTCAACTCTTGCTGGTGGGGGGCGCAGACTGCTGCACGGGGCGGCAACGACTGCGTTTCAAAGAACGCACGGTTGCCATCCACACGCAACGATCACGCCCAGACCGCAAACTATTGCGTTCATGCGTCAACGACTGTGAATACTTAGAGGCCTCCTGGAATGGGTCCGAGTAGATAGGGATCAGAGGATCTCGCCGCATCGCCGATGCATCGACGATGCATCGCCGATGTATCGGCGATGTATCGGCCATAAACTGGCGACGTCGGCGATGCATCGGCGAAGTCGGCGTGGAGAAAATCGTGCCCCACATCAAGACGCATCGCTGATGCATCGCCGATGCATCGGCGATGCGGCGCGGTCCTCCGACCTCATCTGCTCCGACCCCACTGCTCCGGCTCAGGGCTTACGGACTCAGGCCGTGCCATCCGATCCCCCCCAGACCCCCTCAGGTCAGAAAAAAGCACGTACTCCTACTCCTCCTCCCCCTCCTCCTCCTCTTTCTCGATCCCCCTCGATCCCCCTCGATCCTCCTCCCCCTCCTCCTCCTCCTCCTCCTCCTCTTTCTCGATCCCCCTCGATCCTCCTCGATCCTCCTCGATCCTCCTCCTCCTCTTCCTTCTCCTCCTCCTCCTCCTCGATCCTCCTCGATCCTCCTCGATCCTCCTCCTCCTCGATCCTCCTCGATCCTCCTCGATCCTCCTCGATCCTCCTCGATCCTCCTCCTCCTCCTCCTCCTTCTCCTCCTCCTCCTCGATCCTCCTCCTCCTCCTCCTGGGCTTCGCCCCCCTGGCCCCCCCGCAGAGCCCTCCTGGCCCCACGGCAGCTCCCGGGCGCGCCCGGGCTCCACGAGGCTGCAGACGGCGGCCCCCAAGAGGCCTCGCTGCGGCGCCCCGGCATTCTCGCTCCGCGCGCGGCAGCTGCCCGGGCCACGCCCTGGCCAAGGCACCGCCTCCTCCTCCTCCTGCTCCTCCTCCTCCTCCTTCTCCTCCTCCTCCTCCTCGATCCTCCTCCTCCTCCTCCTCCTCCTCCTCCTCCTGCTCCTCCTCCTGTTCCTCCTCCTGCTCCTCCTCCTCCTCCTCCTCCTCCTCCTCCTCCTGCTTCTCCTGGCCTGGCCCGGCAAGCAACCTGCGGGCCCTCGAAGGAGCCAGGGTGGGCCTGGCGGGCCCTCCCACTTCCCCTTCTCCCTCCCCTCCACCCGCCCCTCACCCCTGGGAGGGAGGACGGACCGCTGCGCGCTGACGTTCGGCACCCCTGGCGTGGCAGCCGTAGGCCTCGTGGGGCG